GCTCTTGGATGCCTTTAGGTATACAGACCCTGGGTGTGTTTGTCACCCAAAAGAATAGCTTGAGCAGTAACCCAGCCCTGTAATGCTCAGAGCAAAGCTGTTGTTGGATGTCATTGAGTTGATTTTGACTCATATGACCCTGCAGGACAGAGAACTGACCCCATAGTGTTTCCAAGTCTTTACTCTTTACAGAAGAAGACTGCCACATCTTTCTCTGGCAGAGAAGCTGGTGGATTCAAATTGCCTACCTTTTGGTTAGTGGCTGAGCACTCACTCACTGTGCCACCAGGGCACCTCTATTCCTCATAATATCCTTCAAAGTGAGGGATTATTATCTACATCTTACAAATGAGGAAACTAAGGCTCAGAGAGGTTAAAGAAGTTGCCAAAGCCACATAGCTAATGGGTTATAGGGAAAGATGTGAAGCCTTTGTCTTCCCAGGCTCTCTTTACACCAAGCCCCCAGTTCCCCATACTGCCTCCACAATATGAAAGTGTTGCCAGTCCTATTCACAGAAAAATCCAACAGTGTCCTTCTCTCTTTTAATGGAAGATCCAGAGAAGATAACCACATAAACCCATACTTCATCTTCAGAACTAGTCATAGTTTGAAACAAAACAACATTTCTGCTCAGAGCAACACTAATTTCAAGAAAATGGAAAAGCTACCCTTCCTTGAAGGCAAATTAAATCTGACATATGACCCTCATCCCACACCAGCTCCACCACTATCCAGCTCTTATTAACATTCATTACTGCCTCCCTACCTGAATCAACAACTGGAGAAAACAGCAGCAAGAAACAGAAAACTCTTTCAGTACCCTACCATTCATCCCCCATTAGGAAATCTCTCAAGTGCCTGTAGTACAGAAGGACAAAGAAGCACAAGAAGAATGCATTGTGTCCATTCACATATATGTGTACATGTTATGAAGAGAAAAAAATGACACACAGTGAAGAGAATAAAGTCATCTCAACTTCCACTATCCCCTCTAACTCAACCCTCTCTTTGTCTGCATGCTAATTCTTTAAAAAAATAAAAATAAAAAACCAGCTGCCCACTGAGTTGATTCTGACTCATGGAGATCCATGTGTGTCAAAGTAAAACCGTGCTCCATATGGTTTTCACTAGTTCGTTTTTTTCAAGTAGATCACCAGGGGTTATTCCAAGTGCAGCTGGGTGGATCCAAACTGTCAACTTTTAGGTTAACATCCAAGAATTTACCCATTTGTGCCACCCAGGGACTTGTGTGCCATCAAGTCCATTTTGACTCATATCCACCCTATAAGACAACACACCTGCCCCGTAGGAATTCCTAGATTATAATCTTTATGGGAACTGACTACCAGGTCTTTTTTTCCATGGAGCAACTGGTAGGTTTGAACCACCAGCCTTTCAGTTAGCAGTTGAGTTAGCAGTTGAGTATTTAGTCATTGTGCCACCAGAGCTCCTCCCCAAGGACTTGCCATCCCTAAATCTCCAATTCTACTGATCATGTGTCAGTCTCACCCCACTGTACAGTGATCCCAGCTCCACGCCATAGAAACCATCAATGATACAGAGTTGGGGCAGTTCCCACTACTGCTGTTCCACAGGTATGAGAAATGGAGGACCAATCAACAAGGCAATGGAACCCTGTACATATTTTCCCACAAAGCTGTTATTATAAAAGCCAATTGGATTCTAAGGTATTATAATACTACACTTATGTATCTAATGGGTTACAAGCTTTTGTGGTTATAACATATGCAAAAATGTGTTTCAAGACCCAAACAACTGATTACCAAAAAGCTTTTAGAAACAAAACTGTTATACGTTGGGCATTAAGTTACACTCACTAGATGCAAATTTGGAGAACTGGTATTTATTTCCCATCTTTTTGGAAAGGGCAGAAAATCCTAAATGACCAGCACATAGTTTGCTATACAATCACACTAACAATTTTAGTTTCAAAATGTACAATTTAAGAAATATTCAGTTTATTAATCTGTAATAAACTAAAAATGGTCCATTCAGTAACTTTAAGATAAATGTGATGGGACTTCTGGTAAGATGGAAGAATAGGCAGACAAGCGACACAGACCCTCTTCAACAAAGAAAAGAAAAACCAATTAAAAGAGATACAGAAGATAATCCTGGAACCCTGAATTTTGAAAGGAACTATACAAAAGTGGATTAGGCACTAACTAGTGGAAAAACCGGGAGCTCTGGTAGCATAGTGCCTAAGACCCACCAGCCACTCCTTGGAAGGAAGATGGGGCAATCTACTTCCGTAGTGATACTGCCTCGGAAACCGCAGGAGGGGTCGCTATGAGTCGGGTTCGACTCGACAGCACATAACAACAACAACAGTGGAAAAACCTGAATGACAACAGTGAGTATAAAGACGGTCAGAGCTGTGGACTGTCAGGTACTCTGATGAGATCAACAGCCTAAATATTTCCAAGTGGTGTCTGGACCTGAGAATTGACCTAAAGATCACTCCTGGTCACAAAAGGCTCCAGGAACAACTACTCTGGTGGCCTGTGACTAGGAAGGGAAACAGTAAGGAAGGCCAGAGGGCACAGCCATTTTGATTATTTACACATGGCAGCAATTTTAGATATTTAAAGTGACCGAGGGCACAACCATTTTGAATGTTTACGAGCGGCAGCCATTTTGGATATTTAAAGTGACCAAAGGCGCAGCCATTTTGAATGTTTATGAGCGGTGGCCATTTTGGATATTTAAAGTGACCGAGGGCACAGCCATTTTGAATGTTTACAAGTGGCAACCATCTTGGATTTTAAAGTAATAGCATTCTCATTCGGATTCCAGGGACCTAAGAACAGGCTCTGTTTGCCATGGTCGGCAAGAACATACGAGAGGCTGACAAAGGAAAGGAGACAGGTGGT